GACTGATTGTGAAAGAATTAGCATGAAGACGAAACATGCTTTCGTTTCTCATAGGCAGAGTATTCATTCAAACTGATAGTTAAGCAAAGGTTTTAACGCTCTGCAATAAAACACTTGCAACAAATTACCAAATTGATTTTAGGCATCACGTTCACCAAAAAACGCCCTTGTAATACTCAACAGCCTAATCGGATCTCTGGCATGCACTTTTCACTTTCCATAATGCTTACGCAGAATGTCCCTTTATAACACGATGCATAACAAGAGTATGTTTCAAATCGCCACAAAAACTGCCACAGGAATTTTCTTGAATGTCAAAAAATGTCCAAAGTTGGCCTGAATTTTTGCATAAGGGAGATAAGAAAAGAATTATTATTTTGTAAAATGTTTTCTGTGCCTGAAATAACCACGCCAAATATACACGGGACTACCCTCAGATTCATTTCGCGGCTCTTGATGACTAGCGTCTCACCAAGAACAAACTCCACGGGTAAGTATATACAGTAGAAGGGCTAATTCATAAAAAGTCAAGAGAAATTCCAAAATGACTTTTCGCTCCGAAAAGATTAATTAGGTAACTTTTTAACATTTATCATCATTCCGCTTACTTCTATTATAATTCAGTTACCGAAGGATGCTGCATTTCGATCGAATTTTTCTTCGGCTGCATGCAAAAACCACACTTTGTAAAATATAACTACTTATTGGCATCTATTTGTTCGTCGAGTTTTGATGCTCTTATAAATTCGATCGCATTTCATGGAAAACATGCATAAACGAATTTATTCTTTTATTCCTACTGTAGACAATTATGCCTTATTTCGATTTCAAACTGCACGTAGGGTATTATTCGGTTTTGAAAAAGTTTCATATTGTGGGATTTTTTAATACCGTGAGATGTCCGTTCATAAAACGTAATGTCTCTGCATTTAGCAATTTGGCTTGTAAAGTTAACAGCATGGTTCCAATCAATTTTTAAATTGTATGAGCCTCTAATGAACTCCTCTTAATACGGTAGATAAATATGTGGTTTTCCGTGCGCGGAAAATATACAGCCTGTAGTTTCGGAACCCGGAATGCAGGTGTAACGCAGGTCCGGTTTAAAATTATTTGGGAATTAGAGGAGTGTTTAAAAAGCGACTTATATCCTTTCTTTAATTAAGAAATGGATAAAAGACCTAATTATATATTTAATATGTAAAACAACGATGTTTATGCATGTCGCCCGTGAAATATAACGGAATATATAAGGACGTCGAAAATCAATGAAAAATCGATGTCACATTAGTAGTCATTATTTGCAGCGTGTGGTGTTTGAATGCAGATTGAACGATGTTCGTTCGAACACCTGCTTACGGCGATTACAAAATTATTATAGAATTATGCTGCATGATAATTAATATTACAACCCTACTTAATACTTTTTTTCGGAACAAAAACGCATTTCAGAATTTCCGTTAACATTTCATAAGTTAGCCCATTTACTGTAAAGGGTGAAACTACCTTCAGATAACCATACATTACGCAAGATATATTCTTAAATAAATTATCCTAATTTGATTTTTCAACAGCAAACTTCATTTAGTAGTACATTTGGGTACTTGTTGGAATTTTTATTACCTGATAAAATAAATGCTATAATTATGAACCAGTTGGATGCCACTTAAATTCAGTGCGAGCGCTAGCGTAGACGTCTGCATCAGCAACGTCTGAAAAGCTTAAGTTTTTGCTAAAACACTTTTTGACTAATGCGTAAATTGAATAATGTTTGCGAAATAGTTCAAAATTTGCAAAATTAACAATTTATTTTGCTAAACCATCACCTCAACAGATAATGATTTGTGCAGGTTCATTTAAAATAAGGGCGGGTGATTTCTTAGGTGAGCGGGCACTTTATATTTCCACATACGCACGATTGTTCAGAAGAAGTAGATTTGCAAGAAAGCTATTGATCGGCATACATATTTCTCTAGAACTATTAATCAGGTTTGAACACTTGTTTAGCAAACACCGAAACTTATCAATGTTTATCAAAACAAACTCGAAATGACGCGTGAAAGCATTTCAAGGCAAGCTTAGTATGTTTACGCTTTTCACAGGGACAATAGTCGTTTGAAAAGGCAGGTAAATAATGACTTTAGAGCTTTGTAGGCGAACGGATACGATCAACTAGCATCAAGTTTTTCTTAAGCATACATGTAACCAGTCCCTTCTGGTTTGTGTCATACGTTAGACGACAATAGGGGAGGGATATGCGCAGGACCGTATCCGTATACTTAATGAAAAAGCATTCAATTAAATACCCGATAAAGATCCGGACTAACAGCGCATTCATTTCAACATCGCGCATCATTCGAATACTTGTTAACGTAAGCTCACGTTATCGGGCAATAGTCATTTTGTTTCTTAACTAGATTTTGGTAACAAGGTTGTAAGCATATTACAGTTGTCCTTATATATCAATAAACTTCGAGTTTTTTATAATCGTAGGCCTACTTAGGGTTCTTCCAACGAAGTCTAACGTCTTTTGACATTTAAAATTACTGGAAACAATATAGTTTTATGAACCATGCGCAAGCAATATTTGTGTGTAAATATTCGAAAAACCTTCTGTACTGTAAATGTAGTGAAGCATGGGATTTGTGCCTATAAAGGCGGAAAACACATCTAAAATAGAGAATATATGAATAATTCTGTTTTGTATATATTCTGCTTTGTTATATTAAGAAAGTTAGTCATTTTTTTTATTTTAAAGAACCCGGAAAACTAATTGGGATGCTATCTTACGACAAGGTCTCAGTGATTTTAACATTGGAAATGATTAACGGGAACGTAGTTTTATCAGCAATGCAAATTGAGGAAGCCGCCGGTGTTTTAATTCCCCATCTCCATCACGGCGTCATTAAGGACGAGTTTCTTTTACGGAGATGGGGTGATCTTATGGGACAAATGTTGTTCTTATTTTTGAAGAGCTTTTTAAATTTGGGGTAATTTGTACTCCCAATAAAGTCTGAGAATGCCCGGAGTTTCTCCTGACGTAACTGATAACAATATGTTTTATAATGACTGCATATATTTTAGACTCATTATCTACGCCACTTTAGCGCGCACACAATTTAACGTGGTCATACGAACGACCAGACAATTATACAAGCGAAACCAACGGTCAACGATGGGGTCATAATTAACAGAAATCCTTGTCAACTGATCCATCATGTTCGTTTACTAACTCTATTCCAAGAAGTAGCACTAAGTATCCTACCAGATAGTGTACGTGAGAGTACACTATCCAGCACGGTCGCAAGACATACGTATTTTCTTTGTGTGTTAGTTAAGGGCCTTTATTCATTGCCTTGTAAGGGTGAATTAGCTTTTTCTTCGTTACGAGAATCTAAAATTGCCTATTCATACTAAGTTCTGTTAGACGATTCTGCCCGTAACACACAAACGTCATTTTATTTAAATTTTGCGAGAAAAAGCTAAATAAAATGTGTAGATAACAAGGACCAGATTGGCAATGTGGACTGATTGTGGGAGACTCCACGTTCGGTTGATTTGGTGTCACACAAAATGCAATAAAGTAGACTAATTGTTCTTTCTGAAAATTTGTCAGCCTGTGGGTACTCAGGATTTACCTTCCTAATTTTTACCACTCGACCAAGGTCATGCTGCGACATGAGTTATCAAGGCATGGCACCCCAAACCATTTGAAAACAAAGGTCTCACTTGCACTAAAAAGGGTTTAACTGGAAATCAGATGCCTGGTCGAAGGCCAAGTTTCATAATGAAGTATGTTTATAATTATCAAGACGGAATAAGTTTAAGAAGTTGTGTGCAAAACATTCATATTTTTGCCGATAAAAGCAAAGATGCGAGTTCCAGGAACTAGTTGATCAGAAAAAGAAGCGATCTCTGGAACAAGGACATTATTCGCCTGCCGTTTCGGATTCTCACTCGAATTCATCATCAGAGACAGTTGCAGAAAAGGGCGACTCGTGCACAGGAAGTTGCAGTATTTATAGGATGCGGTCGCTATGCTGCTGCATTACTACAGCAATTAACCGTGCTCCCCTTCATCAAGGATTGTTATTCGATGGTGCGCTAATTGCTTGATGCAAGTTGTAAATTGCTGGAATCTCATCGCCCATGTTGGATGCTGGCGTGATGATTGCTCGGCCTTCTGGCTCACCGGCTTGCGCGCTCCCAGAGTGGCCAGCGCATGCCTCAGCACGGAAAATGGAGTAGGGATGTCGTTGCACTTGTTGATAGACTGAGGTCCCTTGAACCATGACTCAAGCAACTCGCGGCTCACGTGATTATCCCCTCTCGCGACAATTTCGGCCTCATCGAACTTGAATGTGTGGCCGAGTTTCGTCGAATGGGCCGCGACCTGAGAGTTGGCGTCATTTTTCCGTACAATTGTCACGTTTTCGGCGATTCGCGTCCGGAGCAGTCTTCCTGTTTCTCTGACGTAGTTGCTTTGTCCGCAACTGCACCAGATCCGATAAACGAGTCCAGATGTTTCTTGCCGTGGCAGTGGGTATTTTCTTCTCATCACTTGACGCCTCAGAGTGGCCTTCGGTCTGTGCGCAACTCCCACCCAAATGGTGCAAGAAGGCGACTAAGGCCTCTGAGACGTTCTTTATATACGTAATCGCTCGCCAGAGTTTGGGGTCGGCGCGATTTTGTCGCTCGTTTCGTTTGCACAGGCATCGGTTGACGAAGGTGTGCGGGTAACCATTTTCTCAGAAATCCTGTCGAAGATATTGGTATTCGACAACCTTGTCTTTCGGATCACTGTCGTGCGTCTCAACACGCCGAAAAGGCGTTCTTACGCAACTGTGTCTGTGGCCGATTGGGTGGTTACTGTTGACGTTCAGTTTTTGCGTCGTGTTCGTCGCTTTTCTGAACACTTTGGTCTTTAGGCCACCACAATCTTTTCGACAGCCGAGGACATCAAGGAATGCCAACCGATTATTTTCTTCCTCCTCCATCGCAAATTATAGGTCCGGGAAGGCGCTGTTGAGACGTTCTTTGAACGTGAGCACATGCTCCCGTTCGATAAGGACGAAGGTATCATCCGAATACCGAGCCCAGAATTTCGGTCTGTGGTATTGGAAGACCAGCAACTTCAACCGCTGTAGGACCGCCTTGGCGATGAATCCCGACATCGGCAAGCCCATTGGTGTTCCCTTTACTTGCACGTAGATTATTCTGTCAAACGTGAAGTACGTCCTAAGACAGAACTTTTGGAGCTGAATGCCTTGGGCATGTCGGAGGCGATTCTCCGTTTCATTGTATTTGCTTCGTAGGAGTAACTCGACGGTCTCGATTGCCAGATCCTGGGCGATAGAAGTAAAGATGGACGTGACACCAAAAGATACCATGACCTCTTTTTGCAAGAGACTTACTCCTTTAAGCTTCTCCAGGAATTGGGTTGACGAACAGACGGTGGTGTCCGAATCTGCGGTCCGAAATTTGAGGTGCCGAAACAGCCACCTTGCCAGTCCGTACTTTGGAGTGCCTTTAAGCGGTACAATGTGCCGCATTTGCACATTTGCATAGAATCGGGCCAAGGCCGTTTATCGGGCTCTCGCCATACATCTTCGTCATAGAACGGGATCAGTTGCTAGGGTTCAAAGAGCGTTCGTTTGTTTGCAATCCACACAATTTACTGCTTAGACTGGGTCTATTCTAGTTACGCTTCTTGTTTTTTTTTGCAAATGTTAGAAACTGTTGTTATTCAAAAAAACGAGTTGTATAAACGCAATGTCGCCAATAGAGGCTGGCAATAAGGGCAAGGTTTACAAAAACAGACATGGTTTGCTTCGCCTAACATTTAGAGTGCGTTATCTCATACAATTGATATAGATTCTAGACGCGGAATCGGATTGCGATATACAAACGTTGGCCGTTTTATCACACTGCCTGAACTAGTACTAACTATTTTAGTCCGCGCAAGACGCAATTGTAGGAGTTCGGGTCATAAGTGGCCATCTACCTTTCAGCATACTTCAATTCCCAATGAAAATAGACTTCAATTTTATTTTTAGTCATTTAATTCCCAGTAAAATTATAACGCTAGTTCGAGACAAACCCCCCGAGGTAAAGCCTTTTATGCACGCTCCGGAAGTAACCATGTGCTAAAATCAACCAGCTGGTGCTAATAATTTTATATTAGCACGGCGCCAACAGGCGGGCAGTAGTATATCAGACTCGAGAGCATACAGGGAAACTGAGGCATCCACTGGTTAGTAAAAACTCTCACAGCTAAACGGCGGGAGACGATCTGCGAATAACGCGTGTCTAGGCTGGCAGTTAGTCCATGCGGTCTCCACACGGTGATTGATTTATGATTTCCTGGTTCCTGCCTTCACTTTGGTATTTGTGGGTATTTGGCGATTATATTGCCGTAGCTGGTGAATCGATTCTCGTACTGTGGCGAGCCTCGACAACTTTCCTCAAAATGCATTTCTTCCACTTGCTGCATTAAAATCTAAGAAAAATAAAATTTACTTCATATTGCCGGGCACATGAAAACTGTCAAACAAAAAACCGCATAGTCCAGACGGACAACTGAAAATTCTCGACGAGGTCCTAACATCTCTTCAAAGCATTGGGGTTTGGTTTCGATTTTCAAGTAAATCTGCCACTGATGTCCACCCAAGTGCAGGTGAGTATTACGCGAGAGTACACTTTCCACATAACTCGAGGGCCTGTGTGATTTGCTGATCACTGTCTTCCTGTTAGTATTTGTGAGTATCTGGAGATTATGTTGCCGTAGCTGGTGAATCTCTTCTCAAAATGACCTCTGTGGCGATCTTAAAAAACTTTTCTTAGAATGTTTTTTTCCTTCACTTGTCGCATTAAATTCTGAAGAAAATAAAATCGTCTTCGTATAGTGAAGCATCTGAAAACTGGCAAAGAAGAAACCTCACAATCCAAACCGCAACAGAAAATTCTCGACGAGGTCCTACCATTTCCTTGAAGCATTGTGGTTTGGTTTTTATTCTCAACTAAATCTGCCACTGATGTCTACCCAAATGCATGCAGGTACTACACAGGAGTACAATTTTCACAAAAGTTTCGTAGCTTCGGAACAAGGCAAAGTCCCGTTTTTACAATCGGCGCTCGGCATTCGATTGCGAGTGATGCCAAGATTAGCCTGAACAATTAACAGAAAAACCGTCCTCCGGAAACTATCCCCTGGAAAACGGACAAATTCTGCCCTCGTGCGTCGACTAGGACGTTAGTTCACTCAATCTCAGACTATTCATAAAAACATTAGCTCATGAATTCTGCACATCCTTTATCCACTTTGAATACCGATGCACACAATTCAACATAGACTTCTTTTGCGGTCACCATCTGTCCTTGTCGATGAGAAATATTAATTGAAAGGGAAAAAAACTATAATGGCTATTCCAGTTCAGTTTATGTGAGAGGAAGCGGGAGTGTAGCTTTGAAATCCCTATGTTAAACACGCAAATGAGGAGATTTAGGGAAAAGCGGGAAAGGGAATGACATGAAGAAAAGACTGGTGAATTATCAAAACTGTACAGATAAGTTTTTTTATTGTATAGCAGTATGTGATGACGTATGTCGTCGTCGTACTGGGTAATACAATAGTTACTTGAAGCACACCTGGGCCACAGAGAAAGTAATATGATATGTTGTTTTCATAGTGCTTGGTGATTGTAGCAATGTTGTGTTACTGAAGGATTTGCAGTAGCGTCATGCAGTATTAAATTGTCAACGTAGGAGATGAAAACGACAGCAGTCAGATAGGTCAAAGCTACGCACTGACATGTTAACCCAACTTTCTTTTAAAACTTTCTGCGTATGCAGACATATCAACACCATCAGGAAAAGCACTCAGAGCAGCAACCACTCTGTTCGAGAAAAATAACAGTAATGTGTATAGCTTCGCACTACTCACACGTAGGTTGAGTGGATAACTTGGCAGGTTAGTCGCAGTCGCTTACTCGAAGTCTACAGATACTAGGCAGCTGTCCTGTTTGCGGAAAGTTTTATGTCATCACCAGGTGTCGGTAACTCAAATGAAAGAGATCGTTGACTTGATCGTACTACTGGGACAATTTTTTGCAAACCTGACCATTCTGCTAGAAATCTGGGCCCAGTCCGCAGAACCCAGCAATCCTGCATACTGCTTCGACCTGCCTGTGGTAAATTTGGAATGCGAAATACATTGCTTGTTACGCAGCTTTAATTTGGACACTTGTCGATTCCCGGAAAATGTCTTATCCAAAACGTCATCCATGCCTTGCATTCTCGAAACATTCCGACAATGCCAACTGTACACACAAACCTCCCTATATTTGGTCCTTGGCAAATTTTTTTCTGCTATTATTGTAGCTTGCTTCTTTGTTATAACTTACCGGAACGATTAGTATGTGCACAGTCGTCCGAAATGAGGAGTCGGAGTTCGGGTTAGACGTAACGACGTTTACCAGTGAACCACGAAACCGCATCACAGCGGAGTAAACTATCATAAAGTCTCCTTGAGTGTATAGACTCAGAGGGTGCAGTCCAAAACTGTAGTGCATGCCATATTCTGGCCGTCATGGTCAACTGTCTTGGAAAACAATCATGAAGATGAAATTCCAATTTCGATGCAGTCTACTTCAAGCTTATGATGCACGTTTGCTCAATGGATGATTTGCCAGAATTAAGGCAAAAACACACCGCATAATCGGCACGCCATCAATTATTACGACAGCCCCAAAACGATTTGTTTCAAAGCGGGATAAAAACGACCAGAAAGGACACCAAGCAATTCAAGAGGGAGAAATCAAACTGTAACAACCCACGGAAAGCAAACGACCACATCCGGAAGTTGCCTGCGAAGCGGTCACAACAGAGACATCAACGAACGCCCATCCATCATGCTCAATGTCGTGTGTCCAAACAACTTTTATGATTCTCGAAGAAAATCCGACCTTTAAAGAACAAGTACGAGTGGTGGCATCGATTCACCCATCAGAGTAACAGATATTTATTCACAGACTTCTCTGCTAAGTACTTTTGCAAGCTTGTCTAAATAGGAGCTTAATAAACATGTACCGTAAGCGCATTCGTCGCATCACCAGCGCATAGTGACAGACCGATACATCAGTTCGGAAACAACACATCCGCAGAAAATAAAAAAAATTCGACAGGGCAATACATTTCATTATACAGGGGTTCAATAGGTCAAGGGCAAATACTCGCAAGTAGTTGGTTTTGGAAGATCTTTTACTCATCCAATGCCTCCTCAGTAATGTGTTGATACCTACTGACGCTACTAAAGTGTTTGAAGCCTCTCGGACTTGAAAAACAGGCAAAATTCTAATCAGAATCAACAAGCGCCCAGCCTCTTAAAAATGTGCTAATCATCAGCGACCATGCCAGTCTAGATCTCTCCAGACAGTTAACATTAAAGGCTCCGACCCACGTTTCTCAACCAGACTACTCACCAGCGAAACGACTGAAACGGTATCAACTAGTTCTGGGATTATGAAAGAGGCTCAATGGAGGGGAGGGCAATTTAGTTATATACAACAGCCCTGTAAGGTGGCGTCCGTCATTCCTTTCTTTGGACAGGTCCGGTTCAAATGACCGTGCAGCCGACGTATTAAGTGAAGGCGCTAACCAAAATGTAACTGCTTCATCCGTCAGCCACAATTTTAAATTATTTTATACAAACGTGCAGGGTTTGCTTTCAAATTTCAACGGACTGAAGATTCACCTCTGTGATATATCTCCTGACATAATCTCCCTAACAGAACATTGATTGACCCAACACATGGACGACAGTGAGTTGGCCTTGTTTGGCTGGCAGGGGTTTAGATGCGATGGAGAAGGGCATCAGGGTGGAGAATTACTCACGTATGTGAAAATGTGGTGAATGTATCAGACAAAACCTATAAATTTTCTTGTACTTCTGAGGCAATCTCGGGTCGGGTTCACCTCACCTCGATGTCCTGACAATTTATCGACTGCCGAGAAGGGACAACAGGGCCGACGCTCGCCTGATGGAGGAGCTCGAAAACTTGACTGCCGAAAAGGTAAGTAGATAGATAGATAGATAATTTTTATTAAAGACCCGTCGGGGTCCCATCAAAGCAAATTAACATAAATTTACATGCGAGTTTTAGACGAGGTAGGCCGAATCTTTACAAAATGCAATTCATAGTTTCTGAATTAGAAGTCCATTGAGAAACATGATGATTGAGGGGTGAAAAAAAACTCCTTGGAAAAAGTTAAAAATAATTGGATTAATTTTACAGGAGAAAGAAAAACCCCTCCATAAAAATAATAACAGAAAAAAGCGAGGAGGACTGGCCTGTAGGTGGCGGTATATAACGGAATGTTGTCGGTCATCGTCAGGGTATCAATAAATGTCAGCCTTGAAGGGTACGAATGTGGGTCAGACAGGACTGGCTTGCAATTGGCATTGTATTAGGTATTCACAATTGAGATCGTCTGGGCCGGATTGGTACGCCGCGTCAAAGAGGCCAGACGAGAGGAACCGAGATGCGATCGGCCA